AGTATTAGGAGGTCTCAGTTTCGCCTTGTTAGCCAAAACATTCCAGTACTGGCGTACATTTATACTCGTCGTTTATCCGCCATCTTTGCTCTTTCTATCATATATTTACTTCTTGCCGGAGAGCATTCGCTGGTTGTTGTCGCAGAACAGAAAAGAAGAAGCAGTGGAGATAATAATGAAAGCTGCAAAGATGAACAACGTGACATTATCAGATGAAACTTTGAGACAGCTACAAACGGAGGAGAAGATTAAAACTGCAGAAGAGAAGAAAGACTTGGAAGAGGAGAAAGGTCTATGGATGCAAGTGATGCAGTCTCCAATCATCATGACGCGTCTCGCGATATGTTCCTGGTGGTGGATAACTTGCACCTTCGTGTTCTACGGGCTGGCCATCAACTCGGTGTCCCTGGCGGGGGACAAGTACACGAACTACATGCTGGTGGTGAGCGTGGAGGTGATCGCGGTGGTCACCAACGCCCTCGTGTTGGATCGAATCGGCAGGAAGAGAACGTTGCTGGTGGCCTTCGTGGTCTGCGGGATCTCTTGTGTGGCTATCTCTTTCGTTCCTAAAAGTTAGTAATAAATACGTACTATCTCTCTCTCTCTTTCTAACTGTCTCTCTCTGTATAGTTCGTATCCCACAAGCGGTCAGGTTTCCTCATTACTTTTAAATAAACACTTCCGAACTATTGTTTTATACTTGTAGTATAGTTCATAAATTCTATGCAAGTCTGCTTGTTCTATTAAATGAGACGGTTTGTGCTACTTCTAAACCTGGAAGCTTACTCTGGAGTGAAACGTTTGCAAATGAATGTGTTGTATTCCAGCGCTGTCATGGCTGGCGACGCTGCTGTACCTGGTGGGTAAGATCGCGATAACGCAGGCGTTCAGCGGCATCTACATGTACACCTCGGAACTGTTCCCCACACACGCGCGACACTCGCTGCTCGGATTCTGCTCCATGGTCGGACGCATCGGTTCCATCGTCGCCCCACAGATGCCGCTACTGGTCAGTCTCGTCTCGTGCAGTTACATACATCACGCTCTTAGTATGATTATTCCAAATTTAACAACTTCAATCCTTATGTGACATAATGTTATTCATAACTAGCTATCACCCGCGACTCCGTCGGCGTGAATATAAATAAAAACTTAATTAGTATAAACTATGTGATCTTTTAGACTATGTTCTATATGTAATGCCAAATTTAATCAAAATCCGTTCAGCCGTTCTAGAGATATCTTCAAACACTCATCCATCCATCCACATCACATCCATCTAAACCTTCGCATTTATAATATTAGTAAGTTAAATAAGAAGCAACTCTTCAAGGCATAAATTCGAAAAAAAAAGAATAAATAGTATCCTATGTCAGTCTCCTGGCTCTAAGCTACCTCCTCACTAATTTTCAGGTATATCGGTAAAGCCATTCTTGAGTTATAAATAGTGTAACTAACACCACTTTCTTTAGATATATATATATATATATATATATATATA